GGACACGGCAGCTGGCCTCCCCCAGAACACGTGATTCAAGAGAGGCTAAGCAGAGCCTCAATCTCTCTCTCTTTTTTTTTTTTTTTTTTTGAGACAGGGTCTGGCTCTGTCGCCTGGGCTAGAGTGCAGTGGCATAATAGCTCACTGCAACCTCAAACACTTGGGCTCAAGCGATCCTCCTGCTTCAGCCTCCCAAGTTGCTGGGACTACAGGCATGCACCACTATGCTTGGCCAATTTTTTTTTTGTAGAGATGGGGTCTTTCTATGTTGCCCAGGCTCATCTTGAACTCCTGGGCTCAAGTGATCCTCCCAGCTCAGCCTCCTAAAGTGCTAGGATTACAGGCGTGAGCCGCCAGGCCCAGCCATCGATGTCTGTGTGACCTAGTCTCAGGAGTCATACACTGGCATTCCTGCAATATCCTGTTGACTGCACAGGACAGGTTCCCCCTGTTCATTGTGGGAGGTGATTATACAAGGGCATGGGAATACTAGGAGATCAGATCACTGGACGTTGGCTACCACAGGGTTCCACAAGAATGGAAAACTCAATTTTTATTTATTTATGTTTTTTAGAGACAGGGTCTTGCTCTGCTACCCAGGCTGAAGTGCAGTGGTGTGATCAAAACACAGTGCAACCTTGAACTCCTGGGCTTAAGTGATCCTCCCACCTCAGCCTCCTGAGTAGCTGGGACTACAGGCGTATTCCACTGAGACTGGTTAATTTTTTTTCTATTTTTTTTTTTTGAGATGGGGTCTTACTATATTGCCCCAGCTAGTCTCAAAGTCCTGGCCGTGAATGACCCTCCCACCTTGACCTCCCAAATTGCTGGGATTATAGGCATGAGCCACTGAACCTGACCCTAAAACTCAACTTTTATTAAGTCACTCCCCTGCTCAAAGAAATCCAGAGCCTTCCCACGTACCGCAACACACAATCTGATTTCCTTAACTCCATCTCGCACTGTCTCCTGAGTGGACGGACCATCCGGGACTGACAGCCTGGTCCGCTTGCTGACTTCAACAGTCCCAAAGCAAAGACACTGGTCGAGGGACCCTCCCATCCTCTCTATTCTGTGGGAAGGCCTGCCCCCCTGAAAAGCTTCCATTCGGCCTTCAACACATAGTTATCACACCACCACCAAGTGCAGGCTCTGGCTGGATGCTAGGATATGAAGGTGACACCACCCTCCCTCAGGGAGCTTCCACTCAAGATAGGAAGGTAGTTATCAGCCAATTAATAATAATCTAACCACAGATTGTGCCACCTTCTCCCAAGGAAAGCTACAGGGTACCACAGGACCATAGAATAGGGCACCGACCTATTCCGTGTGTAGTATTTGTGCAGTCAAGTATGATAATTAACTAGGCTGGGTAGCTGTATTAGCATTAGGTTCGGGTGTAAGTGTCTGAAAATCCAAAATAACAATAGCTGAAATATGATAGGTGTTTATTTCTCTCTTGTGTAGAAGTCTGGGCAGGTGTTTGAGGACAGGTACAGTGCTACTCAGTGACAGGGACTCAGGCTCTTTCTGTCTTGTTACCCTGCTCTGTGTGGCCTCTGCCTTAGGGTCCAGGATGGTGACACCCACACTCTGGGCAGGCAGATGGACAAAGGGACACAGAGGGCAGAGCGCCTATACCAACTATCCCAGAAGCCCCCATGTCACACCTAGCTACAGGAGAAGCTGGGAAACGCTTCATTCTGAACACCCATCCACATGCCCAGCCCAGCTAAAAATTGGGAGCTCCATCTCCATGCAAAAACAGTAACAATCATCAAGACTATCTTGCACTTACTCCAGGCCAGGCATTTGTTGACCTTTGAGATCATGCTAAATGCCCACCTTATTCAGTAGGCCTGGGCTGGGGACAGAATTTGCCCCGTGGTGCCCAAGCAGCTGGTCTGTGTAGCGCATTTTAGGAAGGAAGATGTGAGGTCAAACGCCCATCAGTGCATGACTTCCCTCCCTCACGGGACCAACAAACAGTCCTATCGCCCCAAGGGCTGCTCACGGGTTTCCAGTTCAGGCTGAGATTCTCTCCCGGGAGTGTCAGGCTGCCTGGTGCGAGAGTGAACGAAGGGATGCATGGAGAGGGAGAGCGGGAGGTCAGAGCGGAGGAGAAGCAATTGCCCAGGCCTCGGTGGATGCCCCCGGGGAAGGGTTTGGTCCACCCCACCCCACTGTTGCTGGCAGGTTCCTTCCGAACCCTCCCAGAGAACAGGTACCGCGGTTTCCCTCTATTTGTGGATGAGGAAACTGCCCGTTGGCCCTGCTTTTTGAACATGAGCTCCCACTGTCCTCCCTGGGTGTTTTTCAAGTCCCGTTTCACCGCAACCTTGAAGAAGGGGTCAGTGACAGAACCCTGGGGGCCTTTTTGAGAAGGAAACTGGGGCTCAAAGAGGGGGACGATCGGCACAGTCCGCCTTAAGCCGAGGCACAGTGCAGGCCCAGTCGGCCTCGGAGACAACCTTGCACGTCCTGGATGGGCCCGGCTAGGGCGGGCGTCCGTGAATACCCGCTGTGGCGACCCACAAGTGGAGATGGGGCACGACAGCCACGGCGCCACTTATCAATACCGTAGCTTTGGGTGCGAGGCTCTGCGCTGAGGCCGTCTCCCAGTTTTCTCATTTGACCCCCAGCAAAAACTCTAGTGTCATCACCCTCCTTGTGCAGATGCGCAAAGGAAGGACTGCTCCGAGAGGCCCAGCGACATTTCCAGAGTGGCTCAGCAGGAGCGGGTGGGGGGTCCTCTTGGCCAGGCTGGGACTGCCTGACCTCTCCCTGTGCCCCCAGCGTGAGGCCCTCGCCCATGGCCAGGCTCCGTGCGCGCCCAAAACCCGGATCAGCCCATTTCATCTTCACAACTCAGAGAAACCGTTTTGCAAATGCAAAAACGCGGAGGCTCTGGGAGGCAGGGCGATTTGCTCGAGGCCACACAGAGAAACGGAGAAGGAGACTGAGTGCGAGGCTTGAGGAACGAATCCTCGAGTCCTGGGGGCTCCCCGCGCCCCAGGCCCCCTCTCTGCCGGCCGCGGGCCCCTTTAACCGGGCGGCGGAAGGGGCGGCCGGCGGGCGGCGCCCAATGGGATGCGCGGAGCGTCACTTCCCGGCGGCGGGAGGCGAGTGGCGAGAGCCCGGGACGGCCGGCGGGGGCGGGACGGCCCGAGGAGGCGTTGGCAGCGGGCTCGGACCCACGCGGCGCCGCGGCCCGCCTGGTCTGCAGCGCTCCCACCCCCGGCGGCGGCGGCACGATGCCCTTTGACTTCAGGAGGTGAGTGTGGCGACCCCGGCCACTCCAGAGCCCCCTCCGCCGGCAGAGGGGACGCCCCGGCACGCCGCGGAACCCTCCCGCCCTGCACGCAAAGGCGGCCCCCTGCCCTGTGCATGCCTTGGCTGGCCCTCAGGGACCCCAGGCGGGCCCCTCGCCGCACACGGAGCCAGCCAGAGCGCCGGAGTACCCCCTTGTGCAGCCCGAGACAAACCCACCCACCTTCTTTCCGCTAAGCCCCCTCCCCTGACACCTTGCATTCCCCTCCCCCCAAGCTGGAAACAGATTTTCTCCTCCCCCCCAGAGGGGAACAACCCTTACAACCCAGCATTCCCCCCCACCCCCCGCTGAGCCCCCTTTAGTGGACCCCACCCAAGCCGACAGGTGGGGCCTGAGCACCTGGAACGAGCCTGCAGGGGCCTGCAGCCCCGTCCAGCCTGGCAGCAGCTGGAGGGTTTTAGGTTCGCGTAGTCAGACTCCCCCAGGCTGGACTGATCAGAGGTCTGTCCCCAGCCAGCCCCCACCCTGTGCTCTGGGTGTGGGGGCACATGGGAAGGGGAGGAGGCCGGGGAACCTTGGGCAGAACTCTGCATGGAGGCCATCAGGGTCTGGCCTTGGCTTTCTGCAGTCACCACAGTGGGCCCTTTGTGGGGTCCAACTACCTCATGGTCCACCTTGGGCCAGGGAAGGGGTCTCCACCTGTCCTTTCCTTGAGGTATGAAGCCCTAGGGGCTGTCTTGGCCTGAGGCAGCCACTCTTGGTGTCTAGTCGGAGAAAATAGGGGTTTAGTGTAGGGATTAGAATCATAGCTCTGCCATCTCCACTGAGCTGCTTGGTATATTCTAGAAGTTAGGGCAAAGGCTCTGGGTTCAAACTTCCCCTTCACCACTCAGCTGCATGAGCTCAGTAAGTGTCTGAGTCCTTTCAGTATTTCGGTCTCACCACCTGCAAATTGGGGCTAAAAATAAGGTCTCCACCTGCGAGGGCTGAGTGCATGAGGCACCCTTACAGAGTGCAGCGTGATTTAGAGCTCAGACGTGGGCATCAGTGGGCAAGGGCCCTCTCCATGGGTGCTTTCCTCAGCCATCAAGTAGGGATTCTGATGCCTGTGTCACAGGAGGGACTTCTCCCTCTGCCAAAGGGAGAAGCCTACCCAGAGAGAGAGAGGTCCCTAGCCTGTCATGACCCCCATGGCTTGGAGGCATGTTGGGATTTAGGCCCAGAGAGGACATCGGCCTTGGGCCTTTTTACCGGCTGATGTGGTTTTCCAACCTGTCCTGAGCACCGATGCCATCTAGCAAACGTTGCCGGCTTCCTGCCTCTTCCAGGCAGCCATGAGGCTGGCACCAGTGTCCCTGAGACAAAAGCTTGCAGACCTAGGGCAGTTCTGAACAAGAAAAGCCCCTTGATGGAATTCAGGGGCAGTCCTAATACCAACAGCTAATGTCCGGGCGGTGACGGGCCGTGAGAGCCGTGGTTGGCTCATTGACTCCTGGTTCCACAAAGCCTCCCCTGACCCAGGCCGACCATAAAGATTCCTGCTTCCTGCCCCACTCCTCCATCCCCATGTGATTCAGTAGGTTCCGGTGAGGTCGAGCTTGTTGGTGAATCACTGCTTTTGGTCCTTTTTCCCTGTCCCTCTGCACCTCACCCTTCCGTCATAGAGACAGAACTTAAGGCTCCAGGACAGAGGGTTCTGCCCTTGACCTCATGGGCTCTAGATGAGAAGGGTGGGCCTGGGTCCCAGGTCACACGTTGGAGGTTTTGGGGGCAGGTATGTGAAGTAAGGAAAAGAGGTGAGGCCAGCTCTGGCCTTTGGCCTTGGAGGGGCCTGCCTGCCTGCCAAAGGCTCTGTCTGTATTAGGCGTTGATTTTTCAAGTGGAAAACGCCTAGGTCTGCAAGGCCAGCTAGCCTGGGGCTGCCTTGCCTGCTTCAGGTCCTGAGTGCCCAGGCGCCATCAGGGCCCCAGCTTAACTCCGTGTTTGTTCCATCGAGGGCTTGGGCTCACCACAGAACGGTGATAGTGGATTCAGCACTTCACATTTGCGTCTTGGAGGATGAGCCATCTGTGCCCCACAGACCTGCACTCTTTAACATCTGTGAACTGCAAGGCTCCAGGACCTGGGTTCTAAGAAAGGTCCCACCGTCTGTGCACCTTCTTCCTCTTCAAGCCCCTACCAAGTGTCTGCCCCATGCTCAGCCCTGTGGTGGGGAGGGGGCGGCCCATGGCTCAGCCCTCTCAGCGCTCCGAGAAGAGAAGAGGGAGGGCTTGATGAGTCCCAAGAGAGGGGTGTGCGCATGGACAGGCATGCAGGGAGCATTCAGTGCTACACAGACACCTCGGGGTGGGGACATCCGTTCCCGTGTCACCTGAGAGAGGGAATTAATCTTCATTTTAAATCACAGGAGAAGGAGAGGCGGCAGAGTGGAAGCCATTTTCAGTGGCTGGTGGAGCTGGGATTTGAACCTGGGGCTGTTAGCTGCAAAGCCTTAGCTCTGGGAGAAAAGGGAAAGCTTGGAGGGTCCCACCACCCCATCAGATCTGAGAATGGTGGGGAGTGGAGAGGGGTATACCATGATTAGCACCCCGCAGTTCGAGGCCAGGGAGAAAACCAGGCTTCGTGCTTGTGTTGCTCTTTTTAAAACAAAGTCAGAAGGGGAGAAATAGCATCATCTTGCCCTTTCCTGTCGATACTCCTTGTTTTCTCACTGCCTATAGGGCCTGGCACAATGTACTTAGTTTGGTGGCTTTTCCGTCGAATGGGAATGAGCAGAGATGGGACAGTGTGTGTAAAGCATTTAGACACAGAGTAAGCACCGGTTGGTGTCATTTCATTGAACCACCTGTCATCTCCTAACACATTGTGTCATTCACTTAATTATTGTGCTTGTTCTCTCTCCTCCCATTAGTATGGGAGGGCAAGCACCCGAGGGCAAGAATTTTATCCGGTTTATTCAAGATTGTATCTCCAGCGCTGGAATGGTGTTTGGGCCAAACTTGCCCCTTAGAAGTGCCTCTTAAAGTCTGTCCAGGAAGCCGAAGACATGGTGTGATTTGATATGCCAGCTTTAGTGGGCAAGTTTTCAGCTACTGGTAGAGACTTCTCCCCGCTCTGTCCTTGAATTCGCCCTTTCTAAATTGCTTTTGGAGTTGGGGAAGGAGGCTGAATGCAGAGGAGGGATCCTGAGCTTTAATGATTACTTGTGTTTGCTCTGCTCTTGTTAAATTGTTACACTAATCGCTGGATGTTGCAGTTGTGCAACTGGCCTTGTGACCCAGATCCGTGTGTGTTATTCCCAGTTCCGGCTGGCCTGGGGCCAGTAGTACCTGCTGCCTGCTGCTTTGGCAGCCCCGGCCTAGGGTGGCTGAGGAGGGGAGATAACAGTCCCTGCATGCAGGCCCAGTGGAGCCTGAGCACTGCTTTTGGGGAGGTGCAGGTGGCTGACTCCCAAGTAGCAGCCCCAAGACCTGGGCTGGGCCACCGCCCTGCCACTGACCAGCTATGCCCTGAGACAATTGATTTACCTTCTCAGAGCCTCAGTTTTTTCATTTTAAGGAGGAAATAGTAACCTTCACTGCCTTACCTGGTAGGGTAGATGTAGGGGCAAGTGAGATATCCCTGCAACATAGGGCCAGGTACATAATTTGTGGGGCCCCTGGTTGGAAAAGTATTAGGAATTTCAGGACAACAACAGCAGAGCATTCAGCCAAGCACGGAAACCCCCAAGCGGGTGGCTCCGTGTGACTGCACAGGTCACATAGCTCTGATGCTGGCCTTGAGGCAATGCCTGGGTTGGCCCCCATCGTCCGCCCCTCACTCTGGCATTCTGAGTGGTCTTTCCCCCCATCCCCGACCAGGAGACCCCAGACCTCCTCAGGACCCATCAATGAGCTTTCCAAAGTTGACCTAATTTTTGCATGTCCTGTTCAGCCTTCAAATGTGTCTCATTGCTCTGAGGACCCAGCCTGAATTCCGTGGTGCCTCATGCTGCCCTGCCGAGGTGGCCTCTGGAACCCCTTCACCTGCGACTCCAAGCCAAGTCCAGCCACATTGTTAACCCTCTGCAGAGAGTAGCTAATATGAGTGCCTATGTTTCCACCTTGCCTCGTTCCAGACAGAACGCCAGGAAGCTGACAAGAATGCTTGCTTTACAACAAATTTTTTAAAAATATAGACTTAAAAATCAGGGTGAGGCCGGGCGCGGTGGCTCACGCCTGTAATCCTAGCTCTCTGGGAGGCCGAGGCGGGCGGATTGTTTGAGCTCAGGAGTTCGAAACCAGCCTGAGCAAGAGCGAGACCCCCGTCTCTACTAAAAATAGAAAGAAATTAATTGGACAACTAAAAATATATAGAAAAAATTAGCCGGGCGTGGTGGCGCATGCCTGTAGTCCCAGCTACTTGGGAGGCTGAGGCAGGAGGATCGCTTCAGCCCAAGAGTTTGAGGTTGCTGTGAGCTAGGATGATGCCATGGCACTCTAGCCCAGGCAACACAGTGAGACTGTCTCAAAAAAAAAAAAAAAAAAAAAATCAGGGTGAAAAGAAAATAAAAGTTAGACCAGAAGGAGAATTATGTGAAAAAGCCAGTATTTTGTGTGTATTGAGCACTCACTAGTGCCAGGCGCTGTTGTAAGGACCTCACATGTACCAACTCATTTAATTCCCCAGCGACCTTGCGAGGCAGGCACTGTCGTTCGCCACTGTTCGGATGAGCCGGCTGGGGTGCAGCGGGGTTAGGGGACATGGTCAGCGGCAGGAGCGGGGTGGGAACGCTGCCATTGCGCGCCAGAGCTCTGCTGTGTCCCGCAGGCTCCGCCAATGCTTTTTCTTTTTGTCATTCACTAAATTCAGAGAGAGCTGAAACCTCTTCTAATTGGATTCAGTGGGTTTCTCATCACTAATCCTCACCTGGCAGTGCTCATTAAGAAGCTTAAAATCATCAACCTTCTTTTTTTTCCAAGCCTCAAGTAGTCTGACACCTGATTCTGAAATTGTCTTCAAAG